CCTAACTTGTGTGCTGTATTGAACGATTTTGCTAAAGTGTCAGGTCTCACCGTTAATTTTACCAAATCTGTGATCATGCCTGTCAATGTTCCTGACTCCCTAAGTGTATCTCTCCGTAGTTCTTTCCCATTTCGCTGGGTCAGGGACAGGATATCCTATCTGGGGATTAACCTCACTCCTAGATACTCGGATATATTTGCAGCTAATTATCCACCATGTGTATCGCGTCTCTCTACTCTACTGAAGATCTGGCACGGTTATCATATCTCCTTTCTGGGTAGAGTCACGGCGGTTAAAATGAATATTTTGCCCAAATTACTTTATCTTTTTAGAGCACTTCCAGTTCCGGTCTCAAAAACGTTTTTGGATCACTTTCAGCGGACTATTAACAATTTTATTTGGGGAAATAAGCATCCACATTTTGCCTCATCCATTTTGTATCGCTCACAACGGACGGGAGGTCTCGGTCTTCCTAACTTTTGGTTATATTACCTCGTTTTGCGCAATTATCACAATGGGCTACTATTAACTCTCAAATCCCATGGATCAAGTTTGAGTCTCAGTCGATACGTCCTTTTTATTTACCGGGAATTTTATGGTCTAACATCTCCCCCCGATCGATTGTTTTTCGTAACTCCATAGTGACCCATTCACTGACGCTTTGGTCCAAACACAAATCTAAATTGGGTTTAGTCTCTCCTATTCCCCCAGGTGTGTCATTTTTTGGTGATCCCACTTTTGTTGTAGCCTTTTCTACCCCCCACATGTTTCGTTGGTGGTATGATCGATCTTTTATCAGATTATCTGATTTCCAAAGAGGAGGATCTTACATTACCTTTGATATGCTGCGCGTGTTGTTTGATGTTCCTCTTCGTGAGTACCTTCGTTATAGACAGATTAGGCACTTTTTTCATGCGCACTTTGGCCTTACCCCATCCTCTCCGATTTCCTTTTTTGAACGTATCAGCCGTGATTCTCCCAGGGGTAGGGGTCTTATCTCAGATCTTTATCACCAATTTTTGATCTGTCTTTTTCATGCTCCCCCTTTGTACAGACGAAAATGGGAGGAGGATTGTGGCATCACTTTTTCAGATGAGGATTGGGATTCCATGGTGGATAATATATGCAAAAGCTCTAGATCTCTTTCGGTTCGTGAGACGGCCCTTAAAGTTCTGACCAGATGGTATTATACCCCGTCAAGACTACATGTATTGTTTCCACAAACATCCCCTCTATGTTTTCGTGGCTGCGACTGCACAGGTACTTTGGTTCATATATTTTGGGATTGCCCGACTATATCCTTGATCTGGCGTAGGATTTATGAGGTGGCTGCCTCACTGTCGGGTACCCCGATACAATTGTCCATGCAGACCTGTTTATTGGGGGCCCATATCCCAGGGGTCTCTGATGCCAATCTGAGATTGATACATACAGTTGCAAGAAAAAGTATGTGTACCCCTTGGGATTACGTGGAGTTTTGCATGAATTGGGCATAAAATGTGCTCTGAACGTCATCTAAGTCACAACAATAGAAGAACACAGTCTGCTGAACATAATACTACACAAACATTAGATGTTGCCATGGTTTAATTGCACATAACATGTAAACATTCACAGTGCAGGGAGGAAAAAGTATGTGAGGCCCTAGCTTAATGACTTCTCCCAGAGCTAATTGGAGCCAGGAGTGAGCCAACCTTGACTCCAATCAGCGTGATGATATTGGATGTGTTGCTGACAGCTGTCCTGCCCTTAAAAAAACACACACCTGTTTTGGGTTTACTTGTTTCAAGAAGCACTGTCTGATGTGAACCATACCTCACAGAAAAGAGCTCTCAGAAGACCTACAATCAAGAATTGTTGACTTGCATGAAGCTGGAAAGGGTTACAAAAGTATCTCCAAAAGCCTTGATGTTCATGTGTCCATGGTAAGACAGACTGTCTACAAATGGAGAAAGTTTAGCACTGTTGCTACTCTCCCTAGGCATGGTCGTCCTGTAAAAATGACTGCAAGAGCACAGCACAGAATGCTGCATGAGGTAAAGAAGAATCCCAGAGTGTCAACTAAAGACGTACAGAAATTTCTGGCACATGCTAACATTTTTGTTGACACATCTACAATAAGAAAAACATTAAACAAGAATGGAGTACATGGGAGGACACCACGGAGGAAGCCATTGCTGTCCAAAAAGAATATTGCAGCACGTTTGAAGTTTGCAAAAGAGCACCTGGATGTTCCACAGCACTACTGGCAAAATATACTGTGGACAGATGAAACCAAGATTGAGTTGTTTGGGAAGAACACACAACACTATGTGTGGAGAAAAAAAGGCACGCACACCAACATCAAAACCTCATCCCCAAAGTAAAACATGGGGGAGGGAGCATCATGGTTTGGGGCTGCTTTGCTGCCTCAGGGCCTGGACGGATTGTTGTTATTGATGGGAAAATGAATTCCAGAGTTTATCAAGACATTTTGCAGGAAAACGTACGACCATCTGTCCGCCAACTGAAGCTTTGCAGAGGATGGGTGATGCAACAGGACAATGACCCAAAGCATATAAGTAATTCAACAAAACAATGGCTGCAACAGCACAGAATACGAATTCTGGAGTGACCCAGTCAGAGTCATGACCTCAACCCGATTGAAATGCTGTGGCATGACCTTAAGAGAGCGATTCACACCAGACATCCCAAGAATATTGCTACACTGAAACAGTTTTGTGAAGAGGAGTGGTCCAAAATTACTCCAGATCGTTGTGCATGTCTAATCTGCAACTACAGGAAACGTTTGGTTGAGGTTATTGCTGCCAAAGGAGGTTCAACCAGTTATTAAGTCCAAAGGTTCACATACTTTTTCCTCCCTGCACTGTGAATGTTTACATGTTATGTGCAATTAGACCATGGCAACATCTAATGTTTGTGTAGTATTATGTTCAGCAGACTGTGTTCTTCTATTGTTGTGACTTAGATAACGTTCAGAGCACATTTTATGCCCAATTCATGCAAAACTCCACGTAATCCCAAGGGGTTCACATACTTTTTCTTGCAACTGTACATTATGTATTGCCACTTTATGGTCTATTGCCCTACATTGGAGGTCCAATGTTGTACCCTTGGACTCCGTTTTACACAGAATTGATGCTGTAATGCTTATGGAACGCATTCATTATACCCTACTAGATAAGATGCACTTATACGATAAAAAATGGAAGTCTTGGAGAGATTGCAGACACTTATTGCATGCTTAATAACATCCCCAGTAGGGGTTAGCTGGCATATACTGTTGACGGATGTATCTCTTAACCTACTTTGTCGTTTACGTACTTCATGCACTCGTAACTTCCTCTTTTTTTTTTTCTTATCTTCTTTGTTATGTTAATATACTTTTATGTATTGTACTTTTCAAAAGTGCCTTGTTTTTGCTGACAATATCACTTTTAAAATGTGCTGTTGTTTTACTGTCTACTCATGTACAATAAAATCGTTTGTAAACAAAAAAAAAATATCCAAAAAAAAACTAAACTTTCATCATAAATGTAGGCCAAAATGTATTCTGTTACATGTTTTTGGTTAAAAAAAATCCCAGTAAGTGTATAATTATTGCTTTGTGTGAAATTTATAGCGCCTACAAAATATGGTATAGATAATGGAATTTACACAGCTTTTACTTTCTGACTGCCCATCACATAACTTGAGGTGCTAAAATACCAGGATAGTACAAACACCCTCAAATGACCCCTTTTTGGAAAGTAGACACCCTAAGCACACACAGGTCTATATAGATTTGGACACTGGCACAATTTTTTTTTTTCAGGCATTTACCATATAATCAAGTTATAGTTTTATAGTTTTATAATGGATATGGGCTGAAAGTGCACACTCTCTGGTTTAATTTGAGGGTATGTACATCCAAATTGATGGAAGGGTTTAGGAATTACAGCTTTTAAGAGTAGACCAAAAGTAATTGGACAATTGAATATAATCATAAAAAATAAAATGTTCATTTTTAATATTTTGTTGAGAATCCTTTACTGGCAATGACTGGCTGAAGTCTGGAACCCATGGACATTACCAAAGACTGGGTTTCCTCCTTTCTGATGCTTTGCCAGGCTCTAACTGCAGCTGTCTTCATTTGTTCTTTGTGGGTCTTTCTGCCTTTAGTTTTGCCTTCAGCTAGTGAAATGCATGCTCAATTGGGTTGCGATCAGGTGATTGACTCAGCCATTGCAAAATATTCCACTTCTTTTCCTTCAAAAGCTCCTGGGTTGCTTTTACAGTGTGTTTTGGATCATTGTCCATCTGTACTGTGAAGCACTGTCCAATCAACTTTGCTGCATTTGGCTGAATCTGGGCTGACATTATATCTCTAAACACTGCAGAATTCATTCGGCTGCTTCTGTCTTCCGTCACATCATCAATAAACATAAAATGGACCCATTGCCACTGGTAGCCATGCATGCCCATGCCATCACGCTGCCTCCACCATGCATTACAGATGACGTTGTGTGCTTTGAATCATGAGTGGTTTCAAGCCTTCTCCACACTTTTTTCTTCCCGTCATTCTGGTACAGATTAATCTTAGTTTCATCCGTCCAAAGAATGCTTTTCCAAAACTGGTCTGACTTTTTTTTCACCTTTTTTTTTGGAATAGACTTCCAAACCTCTTCTGTTCAGATTGTTGTTTCTTCTCTTTGCCCAAAACAATGGAATAGATGTGTCCTTGCTTCCCTCAGAGCTGATTCACACATGTGTGATGCAGATTTAAGCTCAGGTTTCACTGCTAATTGATACAGTATTTGTTCAGTGGTTCGTGTCAGGTTTACATCAGGTTCAGGACAGGCTTCACTCAGGATTTTATCCTTTTCAGAGATGTGCGGTTTAGGAACGGTTCCCAAAGAAATCAATAGCCTGTAATCGGCACCTGACTCTTACGTTACTGTTCAGAAATCGTACATGACTCTTTCAAACCTCATTAATTCAGCATTGCCAGTGCACTGGACATACATTATATTGCCAAGAAGTATTGAGACACCCCTCCAAATCTTTGGATTCAGATGTTCCAATCACCTCCATGGCCACAGGTGTATAAAATCAAGCACCTAAGCATACAGACTGCTTCTACAAACATTTGTGAAAGAATGGGTCGCTCTCAGGAGCTCAGTGAATTCAAGTGTGGTACCGTGATAGGTTGCCACCTGTGCATTAAGTCTATTTGTGACATTTCCTTACTACTAAATATTCCATGTTCAACTGTTAGTGGTATTATAACAAAGTGGAAGCAACTGGGAACAGCAGAAACTCAGTGGTAGGCCACGTAAAATGACAGTGCGGGGTCAGCGCATGCTAAAGCATACAGTGTGAGTCCTTAGCTAAAGACCTTTAAACTGCATGTGGCCTTCAGATTGGCACAATAAGTAGAGCGCTTCATAGAGAATGGGTTTCTATGGCTGAGCAGCTGCATTCAAGCCTTATATCACAAAGTGCAATGCAAAGCATCAGATGCAGTGGTGTAAAGCACGCCACCACTGGACTCTAGAGCAGTGGAGACGTGTTCTTTGGAGTGACCAATCACGCTTCTGTGTCTGGTAATCCGATGAACATGTCGGGGTTTGGTGGTTGCAAGGAGAATGGTACTTGCCTGACTGCATTGTGCTAAGTGTAAAGTTTGGTGGAGGGGGGATTATGGTGTGTGGTTGTTTCACAGGGGTTGGGCTTGCCTCTTTAGTTCCAGTGAAGAGAACTCTTAAGACATTGACGTAGCAAGACATTTAGGACAATTTCATGCTCCCAGCTTTGTGGAAACAGTTTGGGGATGACCCCTTCTTGTTCCAACATGACTGCGCACCAGTGCAAAAAGCAAGATCCATAAAGACATGGATGAGCGAGTTTCGGGTGTAGGAATTTTGACTGGCCTGCACAGAGTCCTGACCTACCAGATGGAACACCTTTGGGATGAATTAAAGCGGAGACTGCGAGCCAGGCCTTCTCGTCCGACATCAATACCTGACCTCACAAATGCGCTGCTGGTAGAATGGTCAAACATTATCCATAGACACACTCCTAGACCTTGTGGACAGCTTCCCAGAAGAGTTGAAGCTATTATAGCTACAAAGGGTGGGCCAACTTAATAATGAACCTTACAGAATAAGTCTGGAATGCCATTAAAGTTCCTGTGCATGTAAAGCCCGGCATCCCAATACTTTTGGCAATATAGTGTATGTGAACAGGCACCAAAGGAAACAATGTTGTTTCACATATCATGCATATTGGATGCAGTTCAAACTGGCCTTATTGTAGAACTGAGTTTGTGAATAAAACTCACCCCAGGTTTCTAGAACATAGGAAATAATTGATTCCTGTGGAAGGACACAATTGGATTGCCTTACTCTCCAGTCAGGACTAAGCTTGGGTAAGTAGGTCCTGCAAGCAGCAGCTCCACATTAAGAGGTTTTTTTTCTCTCACTTATCCTCTTTTGCTGTCCTGGAAGATGATTGGGGAAAACAAAGTTAGTTTACTTGGTTACTAAGTTTCTAGGACAGCAGGAATTCTCACCCTATATCCCGTGTTGCATTGTGTTGGCATTTTATTCTGTTACTGTTTGGATCTCATTGGGTGGCTATGCTCTTTTATTGATTGTGAATTATGTGTTTTCTGTTTTAGGTTTAGCTGTCTCTCATGCTCTGTCCTAGATGATTCCTGGAAATGTAATCACCAGATAACTATTTTGTTTTCATACCTATTTGCTTATTAAAAGTCCCTTTTTCTGTCTTTTTATCTAGGAATCAAGTCCTAAAAAGGAGCAAAAGACTTTGACACCTTCACTTGCTGTTGCTCGTACACCTGTGAATGCAGCTGTTAACACTGGTGTTCCCAACACCTCTAGTTGTATGTCCTCTGAAACTATTTGCCTGGATGACTCGCTGGATGAAGGTCTCGCCTTTAAAACGCCTTCATTAGACTCAATCTCAGAAGCGTTGGCTGTGCTTAACAATGGAACTACTGCAGCATCTAGTTCTCACACAGAAACGCCAACCTCCCGGCCTCGTGTTGCCTTGAGAGAGGAAAAACTAGCTTCTATTATGAGCAAGTTACCATTGGGTGGTCCTAAAAAGAATGATCCTCCTCAGCACACTTCCAGCCTAATTGCAGGCCAGTCAGCCCCTGTACCAAAGAAACACCAGGATTTTACTCCAGCCCATTCAACAGTAGTGTCTGGGCTTATTGCAGGCTCTTCAATTCAAAATCCCAAAGTGTCATTGGAACCTTTACCTGCTAAGCTGCTTCAACAAGGAATGCAAAGGTCTTTGCAATCTGAGGTATCCTCATCTTCTGCACCTGCTAAGGCAAAGGCTTCACCTGCTTCCCAGGCCAAATCAACTGGCTCTTCCACCTCCACTCCCTCGTCCTCAACCCCAATACCTTTAATATCTTCCTCACATGCCCATGTTTCTCCCTCCTCTTCCCTAGTACAGAACTCTTCTTCTTTACAAACTGTTAAGGTCCAACCACCCCTTCAACAAAACTATGTTACACCATTGCAAGCTACTATTAGCAAATCCCATACTAACCCTGTTGTGCGTTTGACTAGCAGCCCACAGATATCTTCCACATCACCAGTCATCAAAACTCCAGAAAAATCAGTTGGTTACCGACCTCCATCATCACCATCTCCAGGTAGCAGTCAACATACACCAGTATCTCGAAGTGCTGCCGCTTCTACCTCTACTAACATTATAGCAAAAAATATGAGTGCACAAGGTACAAATCCTGCATTCAAGTCTCCCTATAGCATGGCCCCGTCACCCAAACTTAGTACTTCTCCCAGTTCTTCCAGTTCAGGTAATTCCATATCTCCAAATACTACACATCTTAAGGTGTCAAGTGGTATTAACGTTCTACGGCCTTCCACCACAGTCAGCCCTATACCATCTGGAAGGGGCACCGCAGGTATTCCAGTACTGAAAAACTCTTCTGTATCTCCAAAAATGCCCAGTTCCTCACCGAAATTAGTCACAACTACAATCAGGCAACAAAGTCCTTCCCAAAAGATGCCTGCTTCATCTCCTGTCCATTCTCCAGTCCCTTCTCCAAAAATGTCTAGTCCAATTTTGCAAAATCAGTCACCAAAACAATCTAATTCATCTCCTAAGCCAGTTAACCCTACCCAAACTGGACATAAGACCACAGTTCCGAGCTCTGTAATGAATGTTTCTATCAGCAGAGCCTGTCAAAATGCCAGTGTTACAAATAGGACTCATCTTTCTGGAGCAACAGGGAGTGGAGCTGTAGGTGCTACAAAACAGCCAATACCCCACAGACAGTCACCTGCTTCAGGGTCTCCAGTTGCAGCTGCTACTGTGCAGGTGAGTCTATATTTACACATATTTGGTGACAAAAAAGGGGTGGGCAGTGTCTGCTAATTTATGTTAAGCACAAATAACAGTTGTAGAAAGAAAATGTTCCTAGTTAACTGGAAAGATGTTTTCACCTCATATGGCAGTCTGAAGCAGGGGTTGCCACATGTAGATTGCGTCATTAGAACTATATTTTATCAATGCAGTAAACTTCCACATAATGCACACTGTGTACATTAGTACAGCTCCTACTGCACGTTACATATAACACGTTGAAATACATTGGTGTACATGCTGAATACTGGTGATTAGTAATGGCATGTACGCCAGGAATGGGATGTTTTATTGTGGGGAGTGCAGTACAGTGCGGGCTGCTCACCAAACTGTTGCTTCATTTGTTTCAATTTGGTACAGTAAGTTGCAGCATTACACAGTCTGAGTCCAGTATGTTGTCCCTTTAAAGTGGAATTAAACTCAAAGCCAAAAATGTAGTATATTGCAGCTTACCAATCATTAGATGTGGTGGCTGCATTCATTTTCTTTTTTAGGTTTTTCCCTGTTTTTTTTTTTTTTTTATTTCTTTCAGGTGACCTGGCCAATAACGTACCACATCAGGCTCTGTGTCTGATTTGGAGTTGCTCCAATCTTTGACAAGTTTATCCTAGAGAAGTCGCAAATTTCTGCTGTCACTCTCTAGGTGAAGACTGTTGTTGTGGCCATTTGTGGAATAAAGCTGTTAATATTGTGATGTCATCTGCATGCACCTGTCTTTTTTTTTTTTTTTTTTTTTTTTTTTTGCTATAGTGTACTTGGTGTCAGGGCGGCTTCTTGCTAGTATGGCACCTAGTGCTCAGGAGATAACGGGAATGTATGCTTGGGAGCAGAGGACTGTGATTATCTGTTCAAAATAGAAGATAAGCATGTTTGTTCTACCAGTATTTTTTGCAGTCTTGGGTCCTTTAGAGCCCTTAGGACCACAAAAACGTACCCTTCACACATGCTGTTCCAAGTCCTCCGCTACAAATATTAAATAACATTGATGTTTACACCCCTCAAACATTTATTAGCCTTGAACATGTTTGAGAAGGACTTTGCTAAGAAGTAGTTTGGCCACACTGTAGACCAGGCAGTGTCCCACCTTAACAAACCAACTACCATTCCAGTAGAGGCTGCTCCTGTTTTTAAGGACCAAACAAATAACTGGTTGGCAGCCATTATTTGAGTCGTGTTCTTGCTGGTAGGTCCTGTTCTTTCACCTTATACTGTCTGTAGCCTTACTTTGCAAAACTTTTGCTGATTAGGCAAAGTACCTTAAGAGACCTTACCTTTGCTGTGGTTGATCCCTTGATTACAGACAAGTGGTTGTAGCTTCAAGCTGCTTTTGTGATCTGTCTCATTTCATACACCCCTACAGAGGGCAATTTGGTTACAAAGTTGGACTGCTAATGCTAAACCAGCATCTTAAAAGCATTTAATCCACATGGCAATCGATAGAGGACATCTTTGACTTTACCTTTGATACTGTGATCAAGCATGCTACTGGTTTCAAGAGCACCCATCTTCCCCAGTGTTCTGGGGGTTTTTTTGTTTTGTTTTTTTTTTTCCCCCTCAGAGATTTTTTCTTTTAAAATTTTGCTAAAACTTTGTGAAGTGGTACTGCTTGGACCATGAAGAAGGGGACATACCCTGAATGCTTGTTCTGAAAATTATATGTTAGTGCAATTTAAAATAGTATCACAGACAGTACTCAATTGTTTGTCGCAAGTGCACTAATACGGCTACAATCACGTCAAGAAAGATGGAAGATACTGCATATAGCCGCATGAAGAAGCCGTTAACCAACCTAATCACAAAGTAAATATAAATCAACAGTGATATCTTCTTTCTCTCAAGATGAAAAAGAGAAGAGGAATCTCATACCACAAGGCCTCTGGATTAAAAATCCTTGTGCAAATACGCTTAACTCTCTTTACGCAGAAGGACTTTGCAGACGTACCAATGAGAGATTAAGGAACAGCCTCATTCACAAACTGTATGGAAAAAGGGTAACAGTCAGGAAACAAAAGAAGTTGTTTGAAACCCTAACAACATTGGACCCTACCAGCCTTAACCAAATTAAGAATGAATTGGAAATTCTGCAAAGACAACTGCAAAAACTTGCCATGAATGTGAAGCAAAAAAAACTTCAAAAGCTGCACCAAGAGCAGACATTTTGGATACAATCTAAACATAAAAGCAACCCAACATCTTTACCTCCTACTATCAGTGACCTGGAATGCCAATCCAGAGGCCTCACATTCTGCCCATCCACCAAATTGGATCATTTGCAATTATTGTCAGATATGAAGGAATTCTTCAGGAAACTAAGGCTCAAATAATATTTCCACAATAATGAAAGGAATCCTAGGACAATGGAATGCGACACAAAGAAAAAGAACAACTGCTTCACACCTCCACAAGGACGCAACCCCAAACCAGACACCTATATTGATAGC